GGGGGGGGGGGGGGTCGGTTATTAGTAAGGGAGGGAAAAAAATAAAACTAACGAAAAGAAAAGAAAGGAAAAAAATAAAAAATAAAAAAAATTAACTAATGAAATAACCTAAAAATGGTGCCCAGTGCGCGGTCCATGCGCGGTCAGTGCACGGCCATGCACGTGGGGCAGTGGAGGTCGAAAAATGCACGGTCCATGCGCGGTCAGTGCGTGGCCACTTATGTGCAACAGTAGGGGTCCGAAAGTGCGCGGCCTGTGCGCGGCCGCACAAGTTTGTCCTTCGAAATTTCTCTCTTTTAGCCACTTTTTATCTATCTCCGGATGGATTTCTTCACCCCGAGTCCTTCCGTTGCACACAATTTCATCCCTGCACACTAATAGATCTGTCAAGACTTTCACCGTTCAAAATCAAATACGAAAAATAAGAACAAAGAAAAAAATATTGGATTGCCTCCCAAGAAGCGTCTGATTTAACGTCGTGGCACGACGAATTACAACAAAACCATGGGTTGCCTCCCAGGAAGCGCCTGATTTAACGTCGCATCATAACGCATTCTTTCATGATTGCACTTCGCTCACATATTGGGGTTCTTCCAAAGACATCATAACTTTCTCCCTTTTTTTCTTCAACCATTCCAAGGTAGTGTTTCAACCTTTGCCCATTCACTTTAAACCTATTCGTTCCATCTTCGGACTCAATTTCTACTGCTCCACTTGAGAACACTTGCACAACTCTAAATGGTCCTGACCATCTAGATTTCAGCTTACCCGGAAACAATCTTAATCTCAAGTTGTATAACAACACTAGATCTTTGTGTTTGAAGTTCCGATCTAGAATGTGCTTATCATGCATCATATTCATCCTTTCTTTGTACAATATTGCGATCTAGAATGTGCTTATCATACATCATCTTCATCCTTTCTTTGTACAATCTTGCATTCTCGAATGCATGGAACCGGAATTCCTCGAGTTCATGTAGCTCTGTGACTCTACTTGTGCTTGTGGTTTCCATATCCAATTTCAACTGCCGCAGTGCCCATAGGGCTTTATGCTCAAGCTCCATCGGAAGATGGCATGCTTTTCCAAATACCAACTTGTATGGAGACATAGCAGTTAGAGTTTTAAATGTTGTGCGGTACACCCATAATGCATCATCCAATGTCTTTGCCCAATCAGTCCTTGTCGCATTCACTGTTTTGGTCAGGATATCTTTTGATTTCCCTGTTGGACACTTCCACTTGCCCGCTCGTTTGTGGGTGGTAAGGTGTGTTAACCTTATGGCAAACTCCATACTTTTCTAACAGCCTTGTGAACGCTCTATTGCAAAAATGGGTTCCACCATCACTGATTATAGCTCTCGGAGTGCCAAAACGTGTGAAAATATTTTTCTTTAGAAAGCCTATCCTCCTTTGGCATCATTTGTTGGAAGGGCCACAACTTCAACCCATTTGTAGACATAGTCAACTGCTACCAATATGTACTTGTTACCATACGGGCTGACAAATGGTCCCATAAAATCAATCTCCCACATGTCAGCTACTTCCACCTCTTGAATAGTAGTCATCGACATCTCATGACGGCGAGATATGTTGCCTGTCTTTTGGCACTCATTAAAACTTTTCACCCAAGTATGGGCATCCTTGAATAAAGTCGGCCAATACAAACCTGACTCCAACACCTTCACCATTGTCCAAATTCCTCCAAAGTGCCCACTATATGGTGAAGCATGGCAAGCCTGCAAAACAGAAGATTGATCTTTCTCGGGGATACACCTCCGGATCATGTTATCTACACATATTTTAAAAAGTAAAGGTTCATCCCAGTAATAAGACCGACAATCGCGAAATAACTTTTTCTTTTGAATCGAAGAGAGTTCATAAGGTACAACATCGCTTGCTAAATAATTAGCAATATCAGCATACCATGGCGTCTCCTCCATTGCCACTGCTAGTAATTGTTCATCTGGGAATATCTCAGTTATATCTTCAACCTCTACTTTCTTTTCAGCTCCCTCCAACCTTGAAAGGTGGTCTGCCACTTGGTTATCTGTCCCTTTCCTATTGCGGATCTCCAAATCGAATTCTTGTAGCAACAGAACCCAACGGATCAAGCGTGGTTTTGACTCCTTCTTTGCTATCAAGTACCTAAGTGCTGCATGGTCAGTATAAACAATCACTTTTGAACCAATCAAATAAGACCTAAATTTGTTGAATGCAAACACCACAGCTAACATCTCTTTCTCAGTCATGGTATAATTGAGTTGTGTACCGCTTAACATTTTGCTTGCATAGTAAATTGGGTGCACCAGCTTGTCCTTTCGCTGCCCCAGGACTGCTCCTATAGCATAGTCACTCGCGTCATATATGAGCTCGAACAGCTACTCCCAGTTGGGTGCAACGATGATTGGTGCAGTCACCAGTCTCTTCTTTAGCTCCTCAAATGCCAACCTGCAATCATCAAAGAACACAAAGGGATGATCCTTTTCAAGGAGTTTACATAAGGGGTTGGCAATTTTAGAGAAATCTTTTATAAATCGCCTGTAGAACCCAGCGTGCCCAAAGAAACTTCTCACTGCCTTGACCGAAGTGGGCGATGAAAACTTCTCAATCACGTCAACCTTAGCATGGTCGACCTCAATACCTTTACTGGACACTCGATGCCCCAACACTATACCTTCATGTACCATAAAATGGCACTTCTCCCAGTTCAATACTAAATTTGTCTCTACATATCTTTTTAGCACTCTCCTTAAATTGTGAAGACAGTATTCAAATGAATCCCCCACCACTGAGAAATCATCCATAAAGACTTTCATAATATCTTAAACCATATCAGTGAAAATGGCTAACATACACCTCTAAAATGTAGCCGGTGCATTGCATAGGCCAAACGGCATTCTCCTAAAGGCAAAGATGTCATACGGACAAGTAAAAGATGTTTTCTCTCTATATTCAAGGGCTGTTGAGATCTAATTGTACCCCGAATATCCATCCAAAAAGCAGAAGTGAGATCGCCTAGCCAACCTATCCAACATTTGGTCAATGAATGGCAAGGGGAAATGGTATTTTCTGGTGGTTGTGTTCAGTTTTCTATAATCCATGCAAATTTGCCAACCCGTGATTGTACGAGTCGAGATCAACTCATTATTCTCATTCTGCACGACCGTCATTCCACCCTTATTTGGTACACACTCAACTGGGCTGACCCAGTTACTGTCAGAGATGGGGAAGATGATGTCCGCATCTAACCACTTGATCACTTCTTTCTTCACCACTTCTTTCATGTTCGGGTTCAACCTTCTTTGATGTTCTTTGGAAGGTTTGTGCCCCTCTTCCAAGAGAATCTTGTGCATACAAAAGGCTAGGCTAGTATCCTTTATATCTGCCATGGTCTAACCAATAGCAGTCTTACATTCATGTAACACATGTAGGAGCTGTTTTACCTGCACAATTAACAAACCGGATGAGATAATAACAGGTAAAGTAGAGTTAGGCCCTAAGAAAGCGTACCTAAGGTGAGCTGGAAACGTTTTTATGTCCAACTGTAGTGGCTCCTCTATTGATGGCTTTGCAGGTGGTGTTGCTCTTTTTTCTAAGTGTAGTGGCTCGAACTGGGGTTCCCTTTTTCCAAAACCCTTGACTTTCGAGAGTCATGACCTACTCTGCCAACTCTTCACCATCCACATCTTCCAAATTCATCAAGAAAGCTTCTAACGGATCTCTGACATTAAGGGTCTCATCCTTCTCTTGTAGTATTACATCCACTGCCTCAACTAGCGAACAATTCTCAAATTCGTCGGGCCTCCTCATAGATTTTTGAACATTGAATATTATTTCTTCATTATTCAACCTCATTTTTAACTCTCCAGTCTCACAATAGATCAATGCTCTCCCAGTGTCTAAGAACGACCTCCCCAAAATTATTGGTATTTCTTCGTCAACTTGACAGTCAAGAATAACGAAGTCGGCGGAAAATACAAACTTCCCCACTTGGACGAGCATATCATCCAGAATTCCTGTCGGCCTTTTGACTGTGCGATCAGCCAGTTGCAGCAACATTGAGGTCGGTCTAGCTCTGCCAATGCCTAATTTTGTGTAGATTTCCAAAGACATCAAGTTGATAATGGCTCCCAAGTCACACAATTCTTTAGCAAAAGCATAACTTCTAATTGTGCATGGGATAGTGAAACTACTGGGATCAGACAATTTTTTAGCCATAGGTCTTGTCACTACCGCGCTGCAGGTTTGAGTTAGAGTTACAGTAGACATGTCCTGGAAGTTAAATTTTCAAGACATCAAATCCTTCATCATTTTTGTATAGCCTGACATTTCCCTCAAAGCATCCATCAGCGGAATATTTAATTGAATTTGTTTGAGTATTTCCATGAATTTCCTATATTGATCATCTTTCCTTTGCTTTGCCGACCTTTGAGGGAATGGTGCAGGAGTTAGCTTCTGCCCACTGCTTGGTGTCTTTTCTTTATTAGGGGCCTTTTCCACCACCTGTTCTGGGAGTTGTTCAAACTCCTTCTCCTTGCCTTTGTCAACTTGTGCCTGTTCAATTACAACCTCTGTGAGCTCCGTTGACTCGTCGGTCTCTAATGTCACTGGAGTAATTGGCACTGCGTCTCTCCTAGATTGAGCAACTTCTTGCCCTCTGTTTAAATCCCTTCCATTCCTGAGACTCACTGCCATTAGCTGATTTGGGTTCTGCTCCTTTGGATTGATGTTTGTGTCTGCAGGCAACATTCCTTGTGGGCAATTGTTCAAGGCCATAAATAACTGGCCTAATTAAGTTTCAATGTCTTTAATAGCTGAATCATGTGCGGCTAACTTTTCTTGCATCTTTCCATTTGTCCCAATGAGTTGTTGCAGCATGCCCTTGATTTCTATCATATTACTGTCCTGTTGTTGATGAGGCGATTGGTAAGCCAACTGTTGTTGGTGTTGCTGATTGTAGCCCTGCTGCCTTTGATAAGGCACGACTTGGCCTTGTGGTCGTGCTCCCCCTAGAATGGTATTGTATTGTTGCTGGGTTGGTTTGTACTGCTGATTTTGAGGTCCCCATTGCTGTCCACCTTGCCTCTGACCCCCAAAATTATTGACATAATTCATGTCTTCTCTGAAGCCCTGGTTATCATTCTCTCCACTCCACGAGCAAACATATGGCTGATTTATACAGGGAGTGCATAGGCCTCCATTTGTCGTATCAACAATGTGTACCTGTTTCGTACTCATCTCATCAATTTTCTTTGTCAACAAGCTCATCTGGGTCATGAGAGTGGCTATGTTTTCTGCATTTGTATTGTTTGGGTCAAGAGCAACTTAATGCACTATTAGAGTGAGTGTTGTATCTCTCGTCATCCAGCCTGAATTTTGAGCCATTTTGTCAAGAAGAATCTTACACTCTGTGAATGGTTTGCTCAAGAATGCACCCCCAGCTGAAGCATCTACATTAGCCTTCGGACTGTCAGCCAAACCCATATAGAATCTCTGTCCAAGCATCTGATCTGGGATGCCATGGTGTGGACACTTCACCAGCATACCCTTAAACCTCTCCCAGGTTTCCTGCAAAGTTTCAATAGGTTTCTGCTTGAATTGCAATATCTCATCAATATGCCTCGCAGTTTTGTTGGGTGGATAGAACTTGTTTAAGAACTGCTTGACTAGTTCCTCCCAAGTAGCAATGATGTTTATTGGGAGCGAATTCAGCCAAGTTTGAGCCTCCCCAGTCACTGAGAATGGGAACAATAATAATCTGATTGCTTCAGGATTCACATTTGGCTGTCTTTGAGTGACACAAATTGATAGAAAGTTCTTTAGATGTTGTTGTGGGTCTTCGATGTACGACTCAGAGAACATCCCTTTATTTTGCAGCAAGTGCAACATGTTGTTGGTAATCTGAAACGTCTCCGCTTGTATCTGAGGGACTGCAATTGCGGTGGCCAGGTTATCAGCAGTTGGTTGCGCCCAATCATATAGAGCAGCTTTCGGCACAAGAGGTTCTACCACTCCGATGTTTGGGTCAACTCGATCATTCCTATTGTTCTCGTTGACGTTCTCGACGTCATCCATTTCAATTTCGAATTGTTCGTCTTGTTTTAGCTGTTTGCCCTTCTTGTTAGCCCGATTCAGTGCCCTGAATGCTTTCTTGGGATCTGAGAGTCCTTCAAAAAGTTCACCAGTTCTCAAGGAGCTTCTAGGCATGCACCTGAGTCACAGAAGAGTTCAAACGTGAGAATATCAATGGAAATATTTTTTAACACCACAGAAAATTGATCTAAACTAAAAA